CCCGTCAATCTTTAATGAACATTAAATTTTTCACTTTTAGACTTTCAAAATGAAAACTCTGTCAACATGCAATAAACTTGTATATGTTTTAAAAATGCGCTAAAATAATTATCTTAAGTATAAAAAAAATTTAATTCTTTAATAAAAAATTCTAAGTTTTAGATAAGTTGTTTTTATTTTGTTTTTTGTTATTTTTGTTACGAAAATTTTTTTGCATCTTTAACGATAAGTTTTCTTTAAATTTTTTTTATAGTTAAGATATATATACCTCCATCTTTTTGAGGTCGGCAAAAATTATTTGATACAAAGGTCTGACCATAAAATATAGAAACGAGGTCAGCAATTTATGCCGACCTCAAACACTTTCAGGTCGGCAGTTAGGTCGGCATTGCTGAATGCTGACCCTAATTCCGAGGGTTGATATATATATATATATATATATATATTATATATATATATATATATATATATATATATATATATATATATATATATATATATATATATATATATATATGTATATTAGGGTGGGTCGAATTTTTTTATCTTTCCTGTACATGAACAAAAAGTTGTCTTGGCATCAGTACAGTATGAAAATAATATTTAAAGATTTTTTATGAAACATTTAGGGGTCCCAACTTTTGATTAAAGTCTTACCTTATTTGATGTATTTTAACCATTTCCTTGGTACAATCTAAATACATACCAACTATAAATCATTGACTAAAATACATTGGCAAATGGTTTAGCACCTAACTACACGTGCTAAAAAAGAAATGGAATAAATTTTATAATGTTATTTACATGTGACGTCACTAACATTAGCAACAAACCATGTGCTGGATTTTTTAGAAACAAGCAAAATATCTAATATATTATTTTGTAATTTTATTTTTTTCTTTGCAATAATAGATCTATAGTAAAATTTAAGTAGGCTAATATAGATGTATACTACAGTAGGCTATAGTTTAGACTGTAGAAAGATCACTTCATTTAACATGTAGGCCTATTTATGAGAGGGCTAAACATATTATAGTCTGTGTAAATATTGGAATATTTATTGACTAAATTCTTATATAAAATTGTTTTAACAGCTTTTATTTATTGTAAACATAGCTTGTTGTAGTTTTTTTTATTTATTTAGACAAATTATATTAAATATGGATAGTATGTGTACACGAAGTGCAACTAAACATCCATTGTTTGGGCAGTTAGTTGATCTTCCTGAAAATTAAATCCCATCATATGAAGACGTTATTAAGGCGTTCTATTATAATCAGAAAACAGTATTAGAAATTAGCTTGCAAGAAAGATATTCAATTTTAGCAGACAGAGTGAAATGTGTTTATTCAAAAGTAAGTATTCCCACAATAGAAGTGAATAGCACAATCATTAGGATTAGAAGACTTATGGATAAAGTACATACACTTGAAAAATATTTCAATGCAAAAAGAACATCAGACACGTTCACTGAGAAGTTGAATTCTTTTAAGTAGTTATTTGACATTTGTACCTGCAAATGCTTTGATTTGGGCATTAGAGATAGGAACTTATGCACGTGCCCAATGCCAAATAAAACTCCATTGATAGAGTGGGATTTCTGGGTTGACCAGAAAACTGTTAGAAATATGATAATTGGTGGAGTAGACAAAGAAACGACAGCAACACTGGAAAAGAGACAAAAACGCAAATTTATGAAATCAGTGTGTGATGAAGCACAGTCAAAAGAGGTTGAATATGAAACTGAGGAAGATATTGATGAGGATGAGCGTAACATGTCTGAAAGTAATTATACATCAGAGGAAAAGACAGTATCAGTGCAGAATAGAAACAAGTACAAGGAATTATGTAAAGCAGTTGATCGATGCAAAATTAGCAACAGAGATACATGTCTTATTGTTAATGCTGTTTTAAAAGACCTCAGTATGTTGTCTTCAGCAACAATTCTTGATCTTTCAAAGCTACGTCGACAAAGGAATTTCTGGAGAGATACTCTGGTTGAAGAACATATGCAGAGCAATAAGGAATTGTGCTGTATGGGCTTTGATGGAAAACAAGACGTTACATTAGTTGAGAGTTTTGGTTGTAGATGAAGTAAAAAAGAAGAACACTATAGTATTGTCTCGTATCCAGGAAACATATACATCCATCATGTAGTTCCTGAAAGTAGTAAAGCTGCTGGTATAACAAAGGAGTTAATGTCAGTTATTATAGAGACAGACTCCATAGAAAGCATTCAAGGTGTTGTGTGTGATGGCACAAATAATAATACAGGTAAAAGCAACGGAATCATAAGAAAATTGGAGGAGAACTTAGGTAGACCATTACAGTGGTTTGTATGCCTTCTACACTGTAACGAGCTGCCATTTAAAAGGTTTTTGGCAGGCGTGGATTTTGCTCGAACTACAGGACCTTCCACATCGACAGGTACAATTAGCTCAGCTCTAGAATATGATCCGAATGAATTGCCTGTCGTTAATTATTTGCCAATTTCTGGTAAGGTGACTGATTGTGATGAAGCTGTCAAGAAGGATCTTAGCACAGACCAACTGTACTTTTTGAAAGCATGTCTAGCAGTACAGCGTGGATGTCAGATTTCTAAAGATATTGATAGAAGAGTTTACCTGGAAATATAAGTCATGCTCAAATATAAGTCATGCTGGTTGAGGAAAGCCAACAGGATTTTGCGTCTCTACATGTCTAGAGAGGTGGCATCTATCCTCTCAGAAGAGTAACGCATTCATTTTGAACTTTTACGAACCCTCTTGGTTCAAAATCAAATCAAAATCTTCTTGCCAAAATGGTGCTAACAACTTCTTTTACTTAGTTCAGTTGTTTCAGGAACTTGATGCATTAGATCAGGCTGTGGTTCGTCTTGTGCTGAAAACATTCTGTTAGCTGCAGTTAGTGATATTGATATGGAAATTCGTCGTTTTTCAGTAGAACAAATAATAAGAGCAAGAGAGAAGTAGACTAATAGTAACATACCGGTTCGCGTCTTTGATAAGAAGGATATAACATTAAATCAGGCTGCGACATCGTTTATTAACATGATTGACTGGGACCAGAGTAATGTAACATCTCCAATTCTATCACACCTTTCAAATGATCAACTTACTTACACACATCCAATACTACTGCCCGATGTTCCATGTCATTCACAGGCAGTAAAGAGAACAATTAAAGACGTTAGCGCTGCGAGCTGTAAAGTTTATGGGAGAAAGTCCCGTCATGGCATGGTGTTACAGAGTAAGAAATCCAGATTAGAGATACCAAAAACAGACAGCAAGAAAGATTTTATTAACAGTTAGGTTAAACAACTTTGTATTGTTGCTGTTTAACATTGATTCGTTACAGTTTACATTCTTTTTAATTTGTAATACATAGCAATAAATTACACTAACATTGGGTATTTATGTAGTCTTTCTAGTCAGAGTTGGAACCTGTAGACACTGTCCATAAAATAAAAAATGAGGTTTTTTTAAACAAGTACATCAAAACGCAACTTTTTAGACATGTACAGGATCTCCAATTTAATATTTTTTACATTTTAACCCACCCTAATGTATGTATATATACATATGTATATATAAAATAATATACATATATACATAATATATATATATATATATATATATATATATATATATATATATATATATATATATATATATATATATATATATATATATATATATATATATATATATATATATATATATATATATATATATATATGTGTGTGTGTGTGTGTGTGTATAATATATATATAAAATAATATATATACATAAAATATATTTATATATATATATACATATATATATATATATATATATATATATATATATATATATATCATATATATATATATATATATATATATATATATATATATATATATATATATATATATATATATATATATATATATATATATATGTGTGTGTGTGTGTGTGTGTGTATAATATATATATAAAATAATATATATACATAAAATATATTTATATATATATATACATATATATATATATATATATATATACATATATATATATATATATATATATATATATATATATATATATATATATATATATATATATGTGTGTGTGTGTGTGTGTATAATATATATATAAAATAATATATATACATAAAATATATTTATATATATATATACATATATATATATTTATATATATATATATATATATATATATATACATATATATATATATATATATATATATATATATATATATATATATATATATATATATATATATATATATATATATATATATATATATATATATATATATATGTGTGTGTGTATATATATATATATACATAAATTGTTATTACTACAGTTATTACTTAATTAATTATAACAAGTTGGTACTTGTTATAATTAATTAAGTAATAACTGTAGTTATTTTGCAACCAGTAAGTTGCATCAACTACATTAGATAATTAAAAAATCATGAAAAGATTTCTTTAGAATTGAGATAATTATAGACTGGTCATTCGTTTTTATAATTTTTTAAAAGGAACTTATTTTCATGTCTGCATTTAGAAATTAATTCAGATTTTTTTAAAATTAATTTAAATTTTCTTGATATATATATATATATATATATATATATATATATATATATATATATATATATATATATATATATATATATATATATATATATATTATATATATATATATATATATAAAGCTATTTTTAAGGCATGTATATAAAGTATACATGCCTTAAAAATAGCTAAAAATTTCCTACCTGAAAGTATACATGTAATAAGAAGTTTACTCAGCATTGTCAATTATGATTGTATCTGTTTCCTTTAATTGTACAAAGAAATTGTACAATATGATCATATTGTACAGAAAAAGAGTTATATATATATATATATATATATATATATATATATATATATATATATATATATATATATATATATATATATATATATATATATATATTAATGTTTTTTAGAGCTGTTCTGTTAATCAACTGCAATTATGAAAGAGTTTTGCAACCGATGCAGTGGGGCTTGGTTCCATCATGGCATAAAGGTTGCCCAAAGACATTTGCATTTAACATGATAAATGCTAGGCTTGATACTTTAACAAACAAAAAGTCTTTTATGAACATTCTTCAAAAAGGTCAGAGATGTATTGTATTGGCTGATGGGTAAGTAGTTGTATTTTTTTTATAAATATATTTTAGTTATATTTAGCATGTGTTTACATAATTATTGGTATAATATTTAATCATTAAAAGAGCTGAAACAAAAAAGCATTGAGTAATTAAGTTCTGCTGTTCACAACTTTCATTCTGAAAACTTATTTACTTCGGTGTACTACTAGTTGTAAGATGTTGATGCTGAGGCTGATTCTGCAAGTTTATGTTGTGTTTAAGTCTAAAGTTATTTATTGTGCAGTTCTCTTCAAATATATATATATATATATATATATATATATATATATATATATATATATATATATATATATATATATATATATATATATATATATATATATATATATATACAGTGAAGAACCCAGAGTTTATTTGGGGATACCGTTTTTTTTTTTCAGCAATGTTGAAAGGGGGGGGGGTATTATGTTTTTGATTTCCCCCTCCCCCTCATTCTCCTCTAGTTAAACAAGTGCCGCAACAATCACTTTTAATCATCATTTTCTTAATAATCATTTATGTTTATCTTGTTCAGTTTTATCTTATAATAAGGTGTTGATTTAAAGGCATTTTTTGAATACATGAACTTACTGGTGGATGATGTTACTTTAGCTGAAAGAAAACTATTTTACTAATTTAGATTTTAATAAACGTTTTTGTTGCATATACCACGCTATCAGTAAATAATTATTGAAAATTGTTTAAAGTATTTTAAACAGTTATTTACTATATTTTAGTAAATTTAATTTAAAATAATAAAAATATTTTAAACAATTTTTAATCAATATTTACATTACATAATATATTTACATATATATTTACATATATTACATAGCGTAATATTTGTAAAATTAACAAAATAGTTTAACGTTCTTGTATTTGAATTAAAAACATATGCATTTAATAAACTTATTTTCAATTATTTAAAATTTAAAATTTTGATTTAAATATTAGTAAAATTGTTTATTTAAATTTTAAAGTGATTTTAAGCCTTTTAAATTAAAGATAATTAAAGAGATAATTACAGTAAATATAATTTAAAAAATATTTTATTATTTTGATTAAAAACCATATTATATTTTTAAAAACATTTAAAACAAAATATATTTTTAATTATTAAGAATAATTTAAAAAATTACATTTGAATAAATAAATTACATTTACTATGGGTTATTTTAAACAGATCTAAATAAAACTTTTATTAAGTTATTAAAACTTTTTTTTATTATTATTTTAAAAAGAATATTAAAAGGAAAAAAAACTGTCTGAAAAAGGTTATACTTCGTTTTTTCCTTTTCCTTACGTAAACTAAAATAGCAACCTAAAGATCAAAAGTTCATTTATTTAAAAAATTAAATTTGCGCGATAGTTATAAGGACTGATTTTTTTTACTTTTGTTCATTTATTATTAAAAGCAGTTTACTCTTAATTGCCAAAAAGAAAAATTAACCTTATGCTGAATGGATATTTAAAAACACTTTAACTAAAAAGCAAATCTTATATACATTCGATTGTTATAAAATTTTGTAACGGTTTTAAAATTAAGTTTCTTAACGACTTTTATTTTTTTAAAAGTTATGTCCAGTTAATAACCGAAGGCAAATTACTCACGTAGTTATGTAAAAAAGCAATTTCTTTTTAATTCTTTTCATTTTTCTGAAGAAAAATGAGGTAGCTAAATTAAACTGAGAATTATTTATATATTACTGCATTTAAAACTAAATTTTTTTTTCTATTTTTTATAAAAAATCAAAAGGAAAATTAAAAATAAAGATAATTTTTGGGCGCCCATACTGGTAAAACAGTACTAAAACACGTCTGGGTTCTTCACTGATATATATATATATATATATATATATATATATATATATATATATATATATATATATATATATATATATATATATATATATATATATATATATATATATATATATATATATATATATATATATATATATATATATATATATATATATATATATATATATATATATATATATATATATATATATATATATATATATATATATATATATATATATATATATGGGTCATTCCGTGCCAAATGGTCTAAAATTTTAGGATTCCTACATGGACCCCCTCAGATTTTGATGAAACTTAGTGGGTTGGTTTATATCAATGAGAAAAGCAATTCCTGAAAATTTTAGCTTTAAATCTTATGTGGTTCATGAGATATGGCCATTTGAAATTTCTGATTTTTCCTAAAATAAAAACTTCAGTAGCAAAAACATGTTTTTTTCATACTTTGAAGCTCTGTATTTTAAAAACTAAATTTCAGAAAACCTTCTAGTTTTTTTTATCATATACAATGCTAGGCTTACTTTGTTAAAACTTTGACATTAAATTTTTAAATGTCACATTTTATTCATAATGACTGCCTAAAAAACCGAAAAAATTGTTTGCAGTTATAGAAAGTTGATTTTTGATGGGTCAATATACAAAACTAGCAATTTAAGAAGTAAAAATACATATCTTTTTAGTTTCTATATATGGTAGGCTTCCTAATTTTCAGAAATTTGCTGGTATGATACAATTCAGTAAGAAATTATGGACCCCTAAAAATGGCTCCGGCTAGAACTTACAAAATTGTGCCTTCCCTTAAATCCACTAGTAACCTATGATCAACACTGATTTTCATGATATACTTTTTTTCTACTCATTTAGTAGACTTTATTAAAGTGATTTCAGAAAAAAAAAATAGTGGGTACTCATGGGGAAGTTACAAAGTCAGAACAATGAAGTCAGCACAAAATGCATTAAAAACACAAAAAATAGAGATATTGATGTACTTTAGTATTCATTATTTACTGCAATGCAAAAAGCCAAGTAAAAGTGTTAGAGGAAATAGACTGCTTCATTAACTTTATAAGTATATCTTGATTTTCTTCAGATATTTCCACAATATTACCTAAAAACCATTTTCCATCATAAACACATTCTATATAAATTCCTGGTGAAAGAGATGCAAGTGGAATTGTATAGTTCTGTTGCATTGTTGAAATATTTACATTAGGAAACACATTGTCGAATGAAACCTGTCTGATTTGTAAAGTAGTTAATGATTGTTGTATAAAACAATGGTGTTTTCTTGTTTCTGGAATTGTTGAACAAGTACCATAACGTTCTTCTAATTTAAATTTCATGCAATGTAATGTAACTGCATCATTTGAAATGTGTTGAAAATGTATTCCATCAATATTTTGTCTACACCAATCATACATTTTTTTAGATGAATTGATAGGATCAACTAGTGATTGTAAACTTGCTCTTGCTACAAGTCTTTTGACAGTTCCCCCAACACCATCACACGCACTCTTTCCATGTGATGTAGCAAAAAAATGCCATTCTGCAGATACGTCATGATCTTGTTTATGATGACATAAGTTAGATAGGTTTTTATAATTTTTGTATTGTGAACTTGCACCATCACTGAAATAAATGCAGTGGTTAAAATAGGGTATCAAGTTTTTTAAATGTTTTAATACTTCATGAATGAAACAATGTACTGAGTTTGTATTGTGTTGCAAATTATCTGAGATAATGCAAATACTTTTACATTTTATCTTGTTTTCTTCCATAAAGTAAATAACAAAAGGATGCAATGTTGCTTGGCTATTGTTCCAATGGAAACCTTGTACTGCATCTTGAATTAAAAAACTGTAATTCTCAGCAAAGTCTAATAATATTAAAATATGATTACTTGCTAATGTGATTTTTAGATGCTGCAAATATGCTGCTTGATTTTTGGCTATATAGTGATGGTCTCTTAATTGTCTATTTGTTGACAAGCTTTTTTAATAAAATCGTCCACTGGAAGAGTTACCGGAACTATATCATGTTTTTTGTTAGCTTTTTGCCACTGGTTAAAGTTGATTTCTTCAATGCTATGTTTATCAAACAAAATTGTAAGTTACTCTTTAAGTGTGTCATTATCTGGGCAGTTATCACAACAATGCAGCATGCATTGTTGTGATAAGTCGATTTGTTAAGTCACATACAACTAATGTCAAGAGATTTTTATAGTCTGAAATATCTGGTATTTTTAATGCTAAAAGTTTGGCATTCTGGTGGTACTCACAAACGCATACTGAGTGGAGACCTGAAGCACCTCCAACAGGAATACACCACTTTGGTCTAAGTTCAAAAAACTTAGAAAATCTAATCTTGACATCTAAGGAAATTTTAACAAACTCTAAATAAAGTTCTTTTATATTAAGTAATAGCAGTCTTTTTTGAAAATGTTGTCTTTTACCATCAACTTGGATTGAGACATACTGTTTTTTTCCTGGACACATTCTAGAGTATTCATCTGATTGGTAAAATTCATGGACTAGATTTTTTACTTTCTCACTAATAGATCTTCCTTCTTTTTTAGACGGCTCCGCCATTATGCCATGCATTTGTTTCAAATGCCTTGCAGTTTTTATCATTCTTTGGGAAGCAGAAAAATAGTTTTCTGTATAGTTAATGTTCCAACTCTCAGGAACCAAAGTTAGCAATTTAAGTTTTTCTGGTTTTGAAGAAATATCAAACTTTGCTTTAATTAATTCCATTAGTGAGTCCAAATCTTGTTTACTTTTGCAACAAAGTTCTTTTGTTTTTGGTTCATCATTTATTAAATCCGGAGAAACATCTAAAACAGTTGCTATTTTCTTTTTGGTTGCAGTATGGATCTTGTTAATCTTTCTTTTTGCATAGCTGACTCTGTCTTTATAAGCTACTAGTTTTTTTCTTTTGAAATATGAATCCCGTTAAAATCGTTATCTTGATTTTTACATGAATTGCTTTCATGTTCTTGTTTTCTTAAGTGCAATATTTTACGACATTCTGTACAAAGCTTATAACCAGGTATTAAATCAAATTCCTTTGCAACAGCAGCACTGATTACTCTGACAGATTCTAAAAAAATATATGATAAAACACTAAATAAATAAAGAAGACTTTATCTTTAATATAATCATTAAGTTAAT